CGATCCCTGTCCCATGGCGGGGGGGACTGTGTCCCACAGTTGGGGTGGGGAGCAAGTCCCCAGCACCGTGCTGACCCCCCTGTCCCGGCACAGGTGAAGGCAGAGATGGAGACACTGGTGCGGGAGAAGGGGGTGAACTCCTTCCAGATGTTCATGACCTACAAGGACCTGTACATGCTGCGGGACAGCGAGCTCTACCAGGTCTTCCGAGCGTGCCGCGACTTCGGTGCCATCGCCCGCGTCCACGCTGAGAACGGCGAGCTGGTGGCTGAGGTGAGCACTGGGGCCGGAACGGTGCCCACCGGGGACCCGGTATCCATGTGACAGAGCCCCTCATGTGTCACCCCCACCCTGACTTCCTCCCCCCCATTCCCCAGGGAGCAAAGGAGGCACTGGACCTGGGCATCACGGGGCCGGAGGGCATTGAGATCAGCCGGCCCGAAGAGGTAGGTGACTGCCGGAGTCGCTGGGTCCCAGCACAATCGATGCCTCACAGTGTGGCTGGGATGCTCTGTGGCATTGTCAGTGCCACCCAGCTGGGGTGTTTCGCCATGCCATGCCATGCCGTGTCGTGCCATGCCATGCCACGCCGCGTGTCTCACTGCCGCTCTCTCCACAGCTGGAAGCCGAAGCCACGCATCGCGTCATCACCATTGCCAACAGGGTGAGTGGTCCTGAGCTGGGCAGTGGGCATTGCTGTGGGGCACCCTGGCTCCACAGGGAAGTCCCCGCACCACAGTAGGGGCACAGGCACTCCCCTGTGGAACCGGGGTGCCGTGGGGCGATGGCACTGACCGCCCTCTCCACAGACCCACTGCCCTGTCTACCTGGTGAATGTCTCCAGCATGTCCGCAGGGGACGTCATCGCCGCTGCCAAGATGCAAGGTAGGGGAGTACGGATGGGTGGTGGGGTGGGACGTGTGCCCCTCCACTGCCCCATTGCTCCCAGCCCCACGCATGTGCCTCCGCCCCGGCAGGGAAGGTGGTGTACGCGGAGACAACTACGGCGCACGCCACGCTCACCGGGCTGCACTACTACCACCAGGACTGGTTCCACGCCGCCGCCTACGTCACTGTGCCGCCACTGCGCCTGGACACCAACACCTCCGCCTACCTCATGAGTCTGCTTGCCAAGAGAGGCACTCCGGGTACCCCTCCTCACGAGCCATGCTTCCCCACACCCCCTCCCCACGCCCGCTGGTGCTCCCTGGGCATCCCCGGTGTATCCCAAGCATCCTGCTGGCAGGTGCCACGCTGTCTGGCTGCCCCGGCACCACCTGTTCTGGCACACTGCTCTCCTGGTGCTGCGCTCTCCAGGCACCCCATACTTCAGGCACCCCCCCTCCTTGGGTCAGCCCCTAGGTACCCCACATCCCTGGCACCTCGCTTCCCCCAGGGCCTCACTCTGTGGGTGCTGCGCTTCCCGAGCACTCATTGAGCACCCTGCATGCTGGATGCCCCACTTCCCAGGCACCCTGTTCCCTGGGCACCCCAATCCCTGGGTGCTGAGCTCCCTGGGCACCCCACTCCCTGACACCCCACTGCATAGATGCCCCATTCCCTGAGCACGCCATTCCATGGGCACTGAGGTCCCCGGGCAACCCGATCCCCGGGCACCATGCTCCCCGGGCACCATGCTCCCCAGACACCGTGCTCCCCGAGCACCAAGCTCCCTAGGCGCCTCACTGCATGGTTGCCCCAATCCTTGAGGACCCATTCCCTGGACACTGAGCTCCTCAGGCACCCCACTCCCTGGGCATCATGCTCCTCAGGCACTCCGCTCCCTGGGCACCAAGCTCCCCAAGCGCCCCACTCCCTGGGCGCTGAGCTCCCTGAGCAGCCCACTCCCCGGGCACCGCACTCCCTGGCACATCACTGCATGGATGCTCCAATCTCTGAGCACCCCAATCCCTGGGTGCTGAGCTCCTCTGGCACCATGCTCCCCAGGCACCATGCTCCCCAGGCACTATGCTCCCCGAGCAACAAGCTCCCTGGGCACCCCACTCCCCAGGTGCTGAGGTCCCCAGGCACCCCACAGCATGGGTGCCCCATTCGCTGAGCACCTCTCTACCCGCATGCTGAGCTCCCTGGGTGCCCCGCTCCCTGGGTGCCCCATTCTTTGGGTGCCGAGCTGCCCAGGCACTCCACTGCATGGATGCCCCAATCCCTGAGCATCCCACTCCCTGGGTGCTGAGCTCCCGAGCACCCCATGTGTGGGTGCTCCACTCCCCAGGCACCCCACTACCCGGGTGCTGATCTCCCCAGGTGCCCCACAGCATGGGTGCCCCATTCCCTGAGCACCTCACTCCCTGGGTTCCCCATCCTTTGGGTGCTGAGCTGCCCAGGCACCCCACTGCATGGGTGCCCCAATCCCTGAGCAACCCACTCCCCAGGCTCTGAGCTCCCTAAGCACCCCAATCCCTGGGCACTGAGCTCCCCCGGCACTCCACGGCATGGGTGCCCCATTCTTTGGGTGCTGAGCCCCTGGGCACCCCACTCCCTGACACCCCACTATGTGGATGCCCCATTCCCTTAGCACCCCAATCCCTGAACTCCCCAGGCACCCCTCGACGTGAGTGCCCCATTCTTTGGGCGCTGAGCCCCC